ACTTCTCTATTACGTAAACAAATTGTAAAAGATATTGCTACCTCACCCCACCCACCCACCCTCGAATTGTTCAGTCTCTTTCCCCACCTCGAGCACTGTTTCACCAACGGTATGGTTTTTCATCGCCCATTACCCGCTTGTATCAAGTGCCATAACAGTTTATCTGAGTCTCACTATTAAATTATATTTTCAGTGCCAAACTAAAACCGTATTATGCTGGCTCATGTTACTATTATCTTTTGTTTGAGTTGTGTAAAGATCAGTAACCTCAGTGCGATTAGAACCCACACATGAACGCCACCTTCACTATTGTTGTTTACACTCCACCAGCTGAGCTACGAGAACTCACCGATACGGACCTTTTTATATTTGGAATACCCAGCCAACTGACGGGGACTTTTGGGATCCACCTGATGGCGTGTAAGCTGACTACCACGACAGATCAGTTTCGGTTTGTACAACCATTAATCATGCACTATCGTGCGCCGGTTTCGATTGCTATCCTTTGGCTACCCATTTGGATGAACAGGAGGAGAAGAATCGGAAAAGTTGAAAGTTGAAAGGATCAAAGAGAAAATTTAGAATTTCAGTGCAGAGAAAGTGACAAGATGCACAAACGTCACTGTTTACGGCACTCAGTCGTACCAGAGTGTCTCTAACCTTCAGGTACGATCATCCCGACAGATTATCCGAGGAATCTACTGTAACTATCCACCCTTTCGTCTATGAGATGATATGAAACACTGAATGTCGACTGGAACAGCCACCACTAGGAAAAGGGTATTGACTGTCATCGCACACAGCACCATATAGGAATGGATGTGATTCATAAATATCCCCCAAAAACCTAACAAATGACTCCCATAATTTACCGTAAAACACTTAGACAATCTGCAATTTTCAAATCCTGGACACCAGTCAGGAGCAGGGAGGACTACAAGCTGCGTGTTTCCGGACAAAACACATGAACGTCTTCCTTTGGCCATTAGATTCACCATGCGACGTCGTGTTCGTTCGAAAGGGTGCTCACCTTCATTGGGTGTAAGTAGCAAAATTCAACCGCCACTGTGACGTGTAAGGGGAGCGAGAGTGTGTGTGTGTGTGTGTGTGTGTGTGTGCGCTTCAACGAGGGTGCTGTCTGGAAGGAGCAGTGCACGGATTCAAAATTCCAAGCAGAATGAAATTTGCAGAATCAGGGTGAAATACAATACGCATTGCAGGCGAGGAAAACAGACAGAGACAATTCAATTTACCGTATAGTTATCTACGGAGTTTTGTTTCCGATACCCGATAGGACATTTGCGTTCGTTATGTGAACGTCTGTATACTAAATAATTTGTTCGTTTGTACGTCTTGAACAGTGGAGCCACATCCGGATGCGGATGACACCGACGTATGAACGGTTTCAATTTGAGTTTGACCGCATCCAAAGCCAGACGATGACGATAGTTACTATCCCGAACGACCAATTTGCATTGTTTCTCATCGAACTTGCTCCTGTCAATGCATAATTTCAACAACAAAACAGGGATAAAATGATCATTTTCTGTGTCTCACACGTTGCACTGCGGTGGACAAATATTTAAAAGAAACGCCAAATTGCATAGGGGAAATTAATTCTTCGTGTATAGAACAAATGAAGTGTGAACTGAAAAGCTTGGAAGCACTGTACAGCTATTTCGACTTGGTTGGGTCGCATCAGCATTGCCAAATCTCAGATTGGCCATCTTGAGGCATTTCCTCTCCACATGAACTCAAGGCGGCCTGAGGTGCTAGATTTTATTTTTTCCATGCTGATCGAATCATAAACCTCTTCTGCGTTCCGCGCCCTCTACGTTTGAGAAAACAGCAACTGCAAAATGTCTCCCTTCCTTAACACTGGTCAATGTCCTCAATTTTGTCGCTGTTTATTCCATTTTGTGTAATACATAAAAAATGACACGCTTGAAGTTAGCGATTATAGGTGGGTGAGAAAATTAATGTATCATTCTTCTCCGTTATCTTTCATAGTAGCCTCCCATTCAATCTGTAACCCATGATAATCCACGCCGGTAGTACCTGATGACAGGCGATTAACCGTGGGCCCTCTCTGTACATTTTGACAATAATGTTCCAACTACTCATTAGTAGTCTAATATGTTTAACACCAAGAATTGCAACGCATTTCATGGTAAACAACCTTTATCCGTCATTTACTTGGGATAACTTTGCCTCATATGTGCCGGAAATTTATTAAGGTAGTAGACTTGGTCTAGGTCAAAAATTTGAGTAAAATTAGTTCTTAAGCACATTTTTCTTATGAAGATACACGTAACTCAAACACGTTATATAAAAGATTTTATCCACTTTTCATTGAATTTTACAATTTTTTTACCGGCATGAAAGCCCATCTACGAAATTAGGCAGAGGACGGGGAAGTAACGGATGAACTCCACCGGACGGTTTGATCGACAACACTTTGTTTTTTCTATTCGAAGATCGTTTATTACCTCTAATTCACGGAGGACGACTTGTCTATCCGTTACTCCTCACCATCTCATGGGTTCCGCACCTTCACCGTTTCATGAACCGTCTTCAGACTCGCCAAGAATACGAGCCCGAAAACATCCGGTCCGACACTGGTGTTAACCCTATGTACGTGAGTGAAAGGGATTACAAGCACATCAGTCGCATAGACACACTGACCTACACGCCGGGGATGGAATTACCAGGAAAACCGAACTGGTTGGAACAAACCACGAGACAAACTGACCGCCATTGCCAAATATCATTCACCAGTGAAGGTAANCAATGGTATACCTAAAATACGCCTTAAACTTTTCATTTCATACTCCGGTTTCCGACCACATTTGTCTAATCATGCGTACCGAAAATGATCTGGACGTAGCTCGTCCGGTTCACTCCTCGGGATGCGTGGATACTGTTGTGCCATGATTCCTTCCGTAATGAACATGAAGGTCGAACATTTTATCATTGGCTCATCAGTACTATCTTTTAGGCTCATCAGTTAGTCCCATAAGTGGTGTACACACACGTACACCTTTTTCCATCAAGCCTTGTCCAAAGATCGTAGTCCTTTAGTCTCAATTCGTAATCATTCACCCAAAAACCAGCAATCCTTTATCCAAAACCCGCAATGGTTTAGTCATGACCCTCAGTCCTTTAGCCCGGCAAGCAAACTTCAGTCATATTGTGATGGAGGCAGTACAAAGAGAGTCCTGGTTAGCGACCGAACCAAGAATGGGGCTCCTCCGACCAGACGCGCAGACGCAGC